ATATACTTTTTATATTATGCCAGAAAAAAAATTTAATGTTCTTAGCAAAACTGTGTTTTGCAATTTAAACAAGCTCATTTATTTAAAACAGTTTCTCTTTCTCAAAAGATTTTGTGCTGGGGATTCATAGACCAGACATTTTATGCTATAAAATATTACATATATTTTCACATTATATACAATAGTATATAAACACACACAAGATGTATTAATATTAATATATTAATAATATATATTAATATATAATATTGTTTAATATATATGTAAGCACGAAAAACTAGATAAACAGCAACATAAAATACATCTAACCATTAAGCTTTCTAGCGCAATTAAATTTTTAGGATTTTTATATTTAAGATTAATTTTAAATATCTAAGCAAATACGTGCGTGTGTGTGCGTGCGTATGTGTATGTGTGTATATGTCTGTGCAAAGCAAAAGAAGCATGTTTGCATATGTGAAGTATAAAAATGCGATTGTGTTACGATATTTTTGCATATATATTAATTAAATAAAATATTTTGTACTTGTGTACATCACATAACGGATCAATTCATGTTAGTTTATTGATGCAAATAGAATAACCAGTCAAGAGATGCATTAGAATTTCTTTTAATTATATAATTTATATTGTTAAAAATATATTCTCAATACATCTCGTACTCTTACCATCGCATCTTAAACCCTGCCGAAACAATCCATACAGCATCGAGCCACAATGATCACAGAAAGTCGGTGACATAAAAGTGTGAGTTCGAAATCTATGAGGGACATCTATCTTGAAACGTTCTCTCAAATACTATAATGAAACAAATATGTAATTCTTTTTAGATATATAGAGTGTTCTAAAGTTTTCGCGGATTAAAATATCATAGCAGAAAAGCTCTCGAAAAATTAATAAAACTATTTGTGATTTTTATTTTAAGCAATAGTTTTTGAGATATAAGAATTTTAAACTCTGGGCAAACACAAGCTATGTTTAAACAATCATCTGTTCGTAATTCGCATGTGTATTAGTTTACAATTAGTGACGTATGTACGAGAACTTTTTTGCTATAATATTTTGATTCGCGAATTTCTGGATACCTTGCATATAGCAAAGTTGTCGCTGCATTGTTACTTGTAACATTAAATTGATAAATTATATGTATGTATGTATATGTACGTGCATATTCGTATGTGCATGGCATATATGCATGCATACTTCTATGTATATATGTATATGTATACAACAGAGTGTAACAAAGAGGTTGAGAACAAATGAAATAGCGTATTTATCGGTGAAAAATAAAGGATTTTTCTTATATAAAGTTATGTCCTTCAGGACATAACGGGCCTTCGTTCTTCGTTTCCGAATTATAGGGCATTAAAGTTTTTCAAAAAAAAAAGTTTTTGTTTAATAACTTTTGAATAAAGGAAGATAATATAACAAATTTTGTGCAGCTTAAGTTAATAAAAGTCTATTAAATATAAAAAAATTAACTCCTCATATCTATACTACTGATTAAGGAGAGCTAATTTTTTTATGTTTAATAAATCTTCATCAACTAACTTAAACTACACATAAAAATTTGTTGCATTATCTTCCTTTCTTCAAAAGTTATTAAAAAAAAACTTTATTTTCGAAAAATTTTAACATCGATATCTTAGAGATGAAGGCTTATAGGGCATAACTTTATATAAGACAAACCTTTCATTGTTCATTAATGAATACGCTGTTTCATTTGTTCCCAACTTTTTTGTTACATCCTGTATATAGGGTGTCTGATAATAATTGCTCCACCCGCAATGTGCAAGTAGAGCAGGTAAAACCGAGGAGAAAAGTCCTTTACCATTTTGTGATTTTCGTAATAATTATTGAGAAATTAATTAAAAAGATCAGCTAATTCGCGCAAGTATAATCGCGCAGTAAAATGAGACAACCCATTGATATATATTGCTAGGACATGGAAATCCATTGTTATGTACCGCTCTTGTACGTAATCGTTGTCATTTGTAGAGCGCTCCTCCCAAACTTCGTCGCGTGCTTAGCGACCGTATAGTTTCGGGTTTTGTCTCTTTTCGCCGCGCGCTTATATTCGCGCGAATTGAACAATCTTTTTTAATTAATTTCTCAATAACTATTACGAAAATCGCAAAATGGTAAAGGACTTTTTTCCTCGGTTTAACTGCACTATTTGCACATTATGGGTGGGGTGATTATTATTAGACACCCTGTATACAATATGTATTATAAGTTTAAATATAATTTATCTCAATGAATATTATACAACTTTTGTATAAAGTCTATTTACTTTTATATATTATGTTTATTTTTTCATTGCAAATAACACTCACTATTGTATTTTCCGATTCTCTCCCACTCTCTGGACATTTAGTTAATAATTTATCATGACATTTTTTGTGTACCGCAGTTTGACATGCTGTAATGAAAAAAAAATTCTCTTGTAAATTTTGTTAAATTAATAAATTTCACAAAAAAAATAAAAGCTTTACCTTGGCACTGATATCCTTGTTTACCGAAACCCCTGGAATAAAAAAATAGATAATTAAGAAATGCTTCTTTATCTTGATAAAAATTAAATATTATATAATTTAAAATTCTAAAAACTTAAATATGCGCGTGCATAAAATAAGGAAAAAAAGATATTTACACAAAGAGTAAAATGTCTAAAGTGAAATATTACCATAAAAAATCTTTACAAAAGGCGCAAAATGTCGGTTGTCGAAAGAATTTAGCTACAAGTTTGTGGCCTCGTACAACGTGTACTTTATTATGTTTAACAGCCCCTCTTCTTTTCGTGATAGCACGTCCAACGTTATTCTCTTGCAACGAAGAGGAAGTCGACGTCGTCGTTTCCACGGGATCCCTCCGAGGAACTCTAGTTCTGTAGACATAAGTCTTTCCTTGCGTCGAGGTTGTCGGTGGTAATTCCGTAGAATTAAAATGTGTCGGTATTCTTGTTCTAAAATCATTCGATTCATTTGATTTCTCGTGCATGTACACCTCACACAATGTAGAATGTAACGATATCTATAATATAATGGTTATACAGGGTGTCCCATTTTAAAAGTTCCACCCTCATAACTTTTCAGGATCAACGTTTGAAGGAAAATGACTCGGATAAAAGTTGTAGGGAACAAAAGGGGCTATCTAATAGTGACCTTGGATTTGACATTAAAGGTCATTTTCAAGGTTATTTGAAGGTCCTCTTTATTTTTTAAATGGAACCCCATATTTTTCATTACATATTCTTGTAGTTGTGCCTGAGCGCGCGAAATTTCAGCCCTGTCATTCGTAAAATATAATCGCTTCTCGTTTAAAAACTATTATAGTTTCGACATTTTTGTATTAGGATTTTCGTCTTGAAATGTTCTAAGGAATCTGCCATTAAGAGGAAATACGGTGGTTTTAGGATACCCTGTATATATTAGTTTATACATTACATATTTAAAATAGTTTGCTTAAAGACGATATTCTAAAAAAGAATGATATAATCTCTAAAAATTCTTACGATATCGTTCAGACGCGGTTGAGTGATGAAGGAAAGAAATGAAAAAAAAATATATATCGACATATCAATGTGGAAACCTTCACTACACATGACGAAAGCTGTCAAAACGGTAAGAGCACAGATTCGGCATGTCGCACGTTTCACTGTCGGTACTGTACTGGGTCAAGGACCCATGCGAAAACATTACGATCGGGGCCAACGCATTGTATACAAACATTCTGTATTTAAATATGAGACAAACACGATCGATTTAAATTTTGTGGAGCTTCTTAATAATCGGAAGAATGCAATTTCTTTTTCACGGTGGAAGAGACAATTTAGCCTGTGATAAACGGTTTCGAAAATCAAATCTAGAGGATAGCTATTTTCCAACAAAGTTTTAATAATAAATTCTAGATCTTTTTTGGTGGAACATAGGATAGGAAAGTAAGAAGACTCGATCTACAAGTCCAATAATAGTACCTCTTTTTTGGCACAAAGGGTGCTGGGAGAAATGGTTTAAATATCTCCCTGAAAAGGTAGGTTTGCGATACCAGTCAAAGAACAGACGTCCTTCCTGACAAATGATCGTGATATCTAGAAAGTTAAAGCGATTATACATGCCCACTTCCATCGTGAAGTCTCGATGAAACGAGTTAAATATATTAAGCACAGAATCATAAGATGACGAAGGCACAGCCAAAAGAATGTCGTCAACATATCTGATGTAGAAGGGACAAAAAAGGAAGTCTGTTAAGAGCCTCCGATTCTAAATCCTGCAAGACGATATCCGCAATTATTGAAAACAGAGGAGAACCCATGAGTGTGCCAAACATTTGTTTGTAAAGTCTGCCATTGAAAGCGAAAAACGTGGAGTACAAAACCATTCGTACGGCAACATAAATTCGTTGTAAAGAATTTTTGTGTTTATAGCAATTAAAACCTTGCTATGCAAGGAGACTGGCTTCGAAAATGCTTTTTATACACGGTGCAACAGGAAAGTTTCAGGACTGATGTTATAAAAATGGTATAAGGTATCGGATATGTAAAGTAACGATTTATTATTCAATATACACTCCTTCTACGTCGATACAGCGCTGAGAGCGACAGGCCAACCTCTTTAGGGCGTGTTCGAAGTCCGATTGCGGAATGCTGTAGAGTTAACGTGTCACGTTTGCTTGAATCGTTGCAACATCTCCAAAACGACGTCCTTTCAACTTTAATTTCAATTTGGAAAAGAGGAAATAATCGGCAGGGGTTAAATCCGGGGAGTACGAAGGGTGGTTGAGCACTACAACATTTTTCTTTATCAAAAATTGTCGCACCGTTCCCGCATTGTGCGCCGGTGCGTTGTCGTACAACAAGAATCAATCCTTCGTCGCGTGGAAATGCGAACAAACTCGAGCAATTCGTTTCAGCATTTCGAACGTTTCGGTAGCCGTTTTGCCACATTTAAAACAAAACTTGATCGCCGCTCTCTTCTCGATATGCGTTTCCATGGCAACCGATACAAACACGCCACACGCAAAAAGTTCTAGCTCGGCGACACCGAAATGAATACTAACGAGACTTGCAGCGTTCATTCACAAGGCTTTGCACTAAATGTTACCGTTGGCGGCGCACAGATAGTACCACTTGTACTGTTTTTATAACATCAGTTCTGAAATTTTCCTGTCGCACTGTGTACAATATAAAGGCAAAAATCCAGTCTCAACCTGCAGGACGATATCGAATTGTTGCATTCTTCTTATCTTCCGATTATTAAGAAGCTCCGCAAAATTTAAATCGATCGTGTTTGTCTTATATTTAAATACAAAATGTTGATATACAATGCGTTAGCCGATTGTAATGTTTTCGCATGGGTCCTTGACCCCAGTATAGTGAAACATGCGACATGCCGAATCTGTGCTCTTATCGTTTTGACAGCTTTCGTCATGTGTAGTGAAGGTTTCCGCATTGGTATGTCAATATATATTTTTTTTCATTTCTTTCCTTCATCACTCAACCGCGTCTGAACGATATTGTCTGAATGTGATAATTTTCTACGCAAGTTCTTTGGAAAACTTTGTGGTTGGTGATGATTTTATCTTGCATGCCGTTGGAGACTTCCACTTTTTGAACGTGTGTTTGCGAAGCGAAATAACAATTTTTGTATTTTTGACCATTCTGACATATTTTGCTTCCTCATAGAGGAAGCTTTGTTTTCGTGACAAAATTTTTTTTCGAGTTTTCTATGCCAATGTGTTTAGAATGTTGTAATTTACTAAAGAGGGTCCAGACGTGGACCGAAACGTTTTCTTAACTTAATTCTTTCGAAAATTGTATTATTAAATATATGTACGAACATCCGCACTTGCTCCGTAAGTCTTTGTATTGTTTTTATTTTATCTTTGTGTGAGCAATTCTTATTATTTTTATAAAATATGTTTTTATAAGTTAAGGGGGCATACCCGTTTGAAAACTCAAAAAATGAATACATTTTCTAGATTTTTTGCAGAGCAACGATTTGATAAAAATTTTTAATATTTTTACAATATTAATACGATATTATTAACTATCTAAATAAAAATTTTTAACTTAAAAAACTTTTTTTTTAAGTTATAGGAATATTTGCAGAGCTCCTTCAAATTTTGGGTGGCTGCACGATGTGCATGAAAATGTTCGTAGATTATATCCGAAATCAAAAATACAAGCTTTTTTTATTAAACATATTAATAGCTATCTGCTATCCAAGCGTTTTCCCAAAATTTAAAAAAATAACAAAATGGCAGCGTGTTGAGAAAAAGTTTTTTTTTTTAAGTCCATCTTTTTTGTTTATAACAAAAAAATGGGAAATCGTATTAAAAAATGGCTTCGTTAACAGATGCGAAATCTTATTAGGAACTCGCATGCAAAATTTGAAGTCAACCCGTCGAACGTAGCCCGAGTTTCATTGCACACCGTGCATGAAAACATAAATCTGCAAATATTCGCATAACTTAAAAAAAAAAAAATTTTAAGCTGAGAATTTTTATTTACGTACTTAATAATATTGTATTAATATTGTAAGAAGAAAAGTTTTTATCAAATCGTTATGCTGCAAAAAAGTCTAGAAAATGTAATCCCACAAGAAAACCTCACAAAGGTAAAAAAAATACGCCAAGTATATTTAAAAAATCCCAACTTGTACGCAAGAAACGTTTAATATTTATCCCTAAAAAATAACTGTTAAAAAAATTATTCCTTAAAAAATAATTTTCATAAAAAATAAACTAAAAAATGATTTTTCTCTAAAAAATAACTCTAAAAAAGAAAAACCTTTAAAAAATAAAAAATCAAAACTAAATATGAAATCAATTTAAATAGCCAAGTACATAGAAGCAGTTCAGTTTGTGAGAGTTTGTAATTTGAAATACTATTTGTTTGACTAAATCAGTCTTGCATTTATAGAAATATAAATTCTCTCGAAAAAATTAAAATGCATTTTATTTTTATTAAAAAATTACATTATTATGTTCCCCTCCCAAATAAATATTTTGTATAATATATAAAATAGCACTATTATATTGCGGATATTATTACAAATAGTAAATCATAAAATTAATCCTTACTGTAATAACGTCGATTACATTAATCACCAATTTCGAATTTAAAAGTGCTTTATGCCAAATTGATGGACTCGTTTTGAAATTAATCATAAGCTTTACCAGGGACTTGGTTAGAGGGCGTGTGAGCGAGTGAATGCGTGTTGGGTATGTGAGATAGTTTTAGGTGTATTTAAGTGTAAAACGAGTAAGTAGGAGCGTGTAAGTTAAGTAGGATAAAAGAGCGGAAGAAAAGGAAGGGTAGCGAAGGAAGGGAAGAGTAGCAGTACAGGAGAAAAGAAGATCTTTGGAGGTAAAGAGTAGCGTCGAAGTTTTAGGGTTAGGATGGCAAAGAGAACGGGCAACATGGAGAGTGCCGGTAAGGAAGGAATGAATAAGAACGGGAAATTATTACCAGAGGTAGGTAAGACAAAAAGGAGAGTTACGTTTAGGGAAGAAAAAGAGGAAGGTAATATAGAGTTAGAATTAAGAAAATTAAAAGAATGGGTAAAAGAGGAAATTAATGGAATAAAGGAGAGTATAAAGGAGAGTTTAAAGGAAGGTATAAGAAATATAAAGAGGAAAGAGAAAGTCTGGGCGGTTAGATTGAGCAATATCGAAGAAGGAATAGGAAGAATGGAAAGAGATGTGGAAGATCTAAAGCAGGAATACAATATTGCAGGTGAAGAGGGGGAAGTATCAGATAGTTATGTAGGAGAAAGTAGGGAAAATAGGTGGATGGGTTAAAGAACAGAGAAACAAAGGGGAGGACGTGAAAGCGGGATATGCTAGAGTTAGGATAAAGGGGGTGTGGAAAACGTGGGAGGATATAGAAAGAGATTTGAATAAGGAGGATATGAGGGAAGGAGAAGGTGGGGTGGATGAGAGAGAGAAAGGAGATGTAAAGGA